AATTATTCATCGTCACTTCTTTTTTGCTTTCTAATAAAATGGCTTATGGTGTTGGTCTTCAAAATTTGCCCATGAATAAACAGTTTGAAGATAAGTGTTGTCAGTTAAAACACTTAGCTTTTGTAGTTTGGGAACACTGTGTTTTGGTTGTAGGCTTCTACATAAAAGTGTTTTTTGTTGTAAATTAACATACACATTAAAACCATTTCAAGCTGAAAATGAAAGTTGTTTAAAAATAACATGGCATTTTAATAATTTTAAATATCTGTCAAAACATCTTAACAGAATTTTGGAAACTAATAACTAAAAAAATACATAAATATTTCCCTTCATTTCCACTAATGTCTTTTCTCCCAGACAACAGTGACAAGTCAACTGGTTAATACCCTGAAAAAGGGCTTTGAAAACAAAATGCAGCACGCAATTGTTAGTCAATTTTTGGTGAATAAAAGTAGATCTTAGAGCTCGACAGCCTGCCATTGCTTATTTTTTATTGAACTCACTTCATTAATTTTTTTTTTTTTTTGCAAACATTTAATCTCAGACAAACATAACTTGGCTGAATTGAACTAATCTAGGAAATGTTGTTGCCTTTGATTAGCGATTCCTCTGTAGTCATGGCAAGCAGCTTGTAGAACAGGGTAATTCCATTACAGTGTATGGAGATAATTTTTAAAAATCCTCTTTTTTTCTGTTTCAGAACATAAAAACCACCCACAAGTCCCCCCACCTCACCCCCAAACCCAATGCTTTAAAATGGTACTGTTGGTTGGGCTTATGAGTGAGGATTACTCCAGTTTTATCAGGTGTTACTCTCTGCATTAAATACTCCTCTTTGACTTAGAGAGACAACTGGATAGTATTCTATATCAAATGTTAGTGCTATATATACTTGTTAGTCTCTACAAAATAATGTTGGGTGCATGCTTCATAAACTGTGTTGTGCTAAAATGGTAAACATAAACTTGGCCTCGTCTGCTACACTGATTTTGAGTAAACTTGGTTGAAGCATATTGCTCATTTTTAATGTGACAGCTATAAGCCTCACCAAGGGATCAGCCTCATTATGCCAGAAACAACCAAATATAGTCCACAAATGACGCTAGGAAGGAGTGTAATTTGACAAGGAGGTACAAGGGCATAAAGAAGTAAATAGGAAAAAGGTCACAGAGCGGGTGACTAATATGAATGTTTTTAAAAACGAGAAGCCTCTGTGCGCCTTTCTCCTCTTACTTACTTGGTCTTTGATAGTCAGTGGGATGCAATGAAAGTGCAGAGCCCAGCTTACGTAGAAGCTGCTTGCAAAAATACATAGCAGCTGCAAAAGCCTCATAAAAGCTGAGGCTAGTTATCAGCCTTCTCCTTCAAAGATGATACATCTCCTTCAAAGGATGATGTATTGCCAAAACCATTAAAATTTGTTAGACCAATGAGTGGACAACATCAAATAATCCTTTAAGCTTGTTATCATTATATGATAATGTGTTTCAGGTTCAATTCTAACATATTTTTACGCCTAGAAAAATCTAGCATCTACAGAATTCAAAATTGATCTGTACTTTTGCATTGTGTTTATATGTGAAAGAAGCAGTAGTCAACTAGCACTCATTGTGCTGAATTTCCAGACGAGAAATGCTCTTTTTCTTCTTATGTGAACCAATAGCTTCAGCTAGAGCCTGGAGCTTCACGTTTCATTTTCCTGGTAAATGATTGCTGCTTTAAACCATTGGTTATGGTTTATTTATAGAATAATACATAGTTCACAATTAAATGCCAAGCTATAATTGAATCAAAGGATTCTGCTGATGCCTCCGCTCACAAGGGTGCAACTCAAGAGCTTTATAAAGGGCAGTAGAATCTGCGTCTAAATTACAGCCCCCAGTATTCAGTCTGGGATCACGCACTATAATGCGTAATAGGGCTAAAAGGATTATTATAATACTGCAGTAAATAAAAAGAAAATGTATCAAACAGCAGAATTCAGAATGCTTGCAAAGTCTTTCAGTTTCTGACGTGGGAGGCTAGAGATTATACTGCATGAGAAATAAGGCTGGAGGAAAAGTATTTCATAAAAAAAATTGTGTTTTTAAAAAAATATTCTGAACTTATTCTTAAATAAAGGGAAAATGTATGTTTCATAGATTAATCCACAGTAAATTCATAGTGTTCTGCTACATGGCCATGACTGGTTCATTCCAGATGTCACATAGCTATTTTCTGGCATAACAGAGCAATAATTATGCTATAGAAGGAAAATGTTTATTCACATATCTTTGATGATTTCTTGAATAAGCTTACAAACATTAAAAACTTAAATTTAGTTATCCAGTGTGAGAATAATACAAAAACCTTGTATTTTATCTAGTACAAAAAAGTCTTATCGCAAAAATGGTTCACAGGTCCAATTCACAAATACAACATTCTTTTATTTAAGAAAGAAACCTGACCGATAAAGCATACATTTTAATGCTAAAATGAAGACTATTTTTGACGTAGGTACTTTGGGTTTTTTTAGAATGAGTTTTCTTAAAAATGAGTAATAATAAACCCTTTACAGTTTATTCCATACTGTCTGTTAATCTGTGGTGTACCTGTTGGGCTGTAAGCAAGGACACCAATCAATATTTTGTTATGTAGACATTTTCTCCATCAGATGCTTACCCTGGTTCCTTACACCAGGCTGTAATCAGTCCAGCAATTCCCTAATGGCCCTAATGTGGTAAATTTGCACAACTGTTGATGCTGTGGAAGCTCATCGTATGCTTTCCAAAGTGTTTCTCCATTTTCCTCTGACCTGCTCCAGTGTAAGACATAAAATAACAGACTATAAAGGCATTGGTCAGACCTCAGGATGGAATTTCTGTGTGTGTTTAGGGTACAGTTCTTTACAGATCTTACTGGAATTGCAAGTATTCAAGACATAATTAGACATGTTGAACTTTGTTGGATGTATGTTTTTGTATGTACCAACGGCTCCTTGGGAAAGGGTAGGGAAAGGTTGGTATCCTGTTTTCTGATAACTATCAATATAACATCTACATGGGAAATCACATATGTGCAAAATCTTACTTACTATGTCAAAAAATAAAATTATTTTTAATACCAAGTTCAGCAGAGTCTGCTTTACACTGCCGTTTTTTTTCCTACAAAGCATTTAATATCGAATTGAATTCCAGTTCTGAATAATACATTATATAGTCATTATAACTTTTTTTGGGTTCCCACGCTCAAAGTCCAACAGAGGTCATACGACATTATTTCCCAAACCAACTTTTCAATAAGTTGTAGTAAATGCTTAAGAAAAAATAGAAATCATGAAATAAACACAAAGTGTTGATATAGGCAAAAATTCCTGATGAATCCATAGATTAAATATTTGTACAAAGCACCACAGAGGTGCATGATACTGAACCAAGACATTATAGCTACAATCATTGCTTCAGGGATCATGGGGGATCGAGGAAAGGTAACACTCTTGCTGTGGTTTTGGGTTTTTTTTTTCTTTTTTCATTTTCACTGGAGTATAACATTTTCCCTCTGGCAATATCATGAAGGGAAGGAACAAAGGAGTACATTCTAGGTGAAAAAATTATGTTAGTAAACGTAGGAAACATACTAAATTGGTCCAGGAACAGATTTACGGAGGGGAAGCAGGAAGGGTTACAGGAAGCTGTAGTCTCTGCAACAAACATACTCTCAGAAAGCAGAAAGGTGAGGGAGGACAATATTTACTATTAAAAGAGGATTATATTGTCCTTACTGCTATCTCGGCAGCTTTAGGAAATAGTAACAAAGCTTTCATACTTAGAGCAGTGGTAAGTAGAGCTGGCTTTTGGAGAAAATCAGAACTAAGATGGGACATGTGGTATACAAGTATTTGAGGCTCTGAACCAGGAAAATATTGTGCTTTAATTATGCAGGACAGATAATTGCATCAATAGAACAAATGTTATCGAAGTAGGTCTTTGATGCAGTATATGGGCCAAAAATATTCCTGTCTGCATTGTAGTGCAAAGAGCATGCATTGCAGGGGATTATCTGTCGCAGATGTGAATGCTGGTGTTGTTTGTTGGTGATTATTTGGATAGTTTGTAAAGTATCTGGGAACATTTGGTGGAAAATACAAAAAACCTGAAACGTGCCATTCCTAATTGTATATTTACATTAAGCAACCTTTTTTCCAAAAATGTTGTAATCTGGCAAGTCCACTGAGAAGAATTTGAAAATCTATCCATTTGTCCAAAGTGCCTAATAGGAACCCCTGCACAAGGTTGGGTTTTTGTTTTTTTTTTTAATGTTACATCATTTTAAGGATTGAAGATGAAAGGACTCTCATACCAGTAATCTTTCATGCGCTTCTGCAATAAATGGATTGCCAACCACACCAGTGACCCAATTTAAAATTATTTTCATGAGTTCACACAGGTTTACACATGAAGAATCTATACCAAAATCTTTTTACACGTTGATCACTGAAACAAGACACTGATGAAATGGTACGTTGAACATACCATTGAAGCACTCTGTCTCTCTTACAGAGATAGTAACAGTTCAAGGAAATAAATCAGATGTAGAGAAAATTTGTTAAACCCCTTCATCATGGTTTAATGAGGCATTAATCCAAATTAATCCACATTTCTCTCTCTTAGTTTGTCAGATTCATCTAAAGTAATTTTTTACCACTATCACTTAGCTGTCTCTGTCCCAGGAATATGCTAAAGGACTGGGTAGCTTTTTCCTTGACTCCTAGATTAAAAAAAATCCTTATCTGTATTCATTTAACTAACATTTTTTCAGTGTGAATGAAACTTAGTGATTCAAATATTTGCAAAAAGCAGAGACGTACTAATAATTGTGCGGGCTAAACCAAAATGACTTTAACGTAGGCAACTGCAGAACACTTCTTGTGATGTTTACCTTGCTGCTGAATAAACTATCCTCAGATTATTTGCATTACGCTAGGCAGAGCTGTAGAACATTTCCCTGCTGGCTGAACTTACCTCCCCTTCTGTGGACTGTAAGTGCAGTTCTTTCCTACAGGTAGCCTTTAAATCTCCTGCAGCTGCATTGACTTGCACTCCCCTGGGTGCTTCCATCACCAAAGATCTGGTAGGAGATTCAAGTCTGAAAGACAAAAACAACCACTGAGGAAAAATCCACTGAATTAAACCACCAAAAAACCACCCAGCCCCAAAACCCACAATGCATGTAGATACAAATGTATTTTGAAAGGTAAAGAAGTAAAAATTAGTAATATGTGTGATTCTCTCACTATTCTCTACAGCCCAGAGGAAAAAAAAAATAAAAGTGTGCGTGTGTAAATCTATTTCTAAGACAGCATTTAAGCATATACTGCTGTAAATTTTTCTGCTTAATGATGGTTTCCGGCATTAGTACCTAATTTAGTTGACTGTATTAATACTGAAATATAGGTTCATAAGATTCCACGTCTCTGTGAGTGCTTCTGTAATGCCAGGTTAATAACTAAAGTCTGCCTAGTGACTGACGACAAGTGCTTATCTAAATAAAAAGAAAACAAAACACTTAAAAAGTTTTAAAGAATGATGTACAACTGATTGGAATGACAATCTTCACAGGCTCATTCATGTTTTGGATAGGTGTAGCAGCACCATGTATGAAGAAGAGAGGAAAAGAAAATCTGTTACATCTCTACTATCGTGGTTTTTTGCATGCTCTTTTTCTGTTTTGCAAGATACTCATTATGCTCTTTAACCCTGTTATAACTGATATAACAGGGTTAAGAGGCTTATCCCTGGGCCTTGGCATCTCTTCACAAAGCAGCTATTGCTGTTCTATTCCTGTCAATCTTTCCATTTCTCTACACTCCTCCATCAACCTGAACACAGAACTATGATACTTTCTTAGCTATGTTATCCTCAGTACTGTACAGACTTCTCTTGAAAGTGAAGTACTAATGCAAGGATTTCGTAGCAGTCGTGCTCACACACACTGAAGAGGAAAGGTCGGATGAAAACTGTATTGAACTAGGAAACAAAAATTTGGATTCCGATTGTGTTCAGCTGTAGATTTATTGCATAGCCCCTGTTAAGAGTGAGACAAATCTTTTAATCTACTTATATCCCAATAATATAATGACAGAACATAGTTCCACTTTACCTGAACAAAGGCTTTTTGTAAGATAATGTATTAATGATAGAAATTTCTAGAATGAGCAGCTTGAAGAAAACACTGTATTTCCCTCTTGAACAAATTGTATTTTGACTGTTAGGTCACATCCATCCAAAAATATAATGAAGTACTAGATGTATAAAGAAAAGAATAGTTTGACAAATAATTTGCTACAGAAAAGCCAAATGAAAGATCTATCAACAATGGAACAAGAGAATTTCAGTGCATTTCAACTATTGAATTTTTAGAATAGTGATGGATTATCATTTTGAAACCAAAATGCCACATTTGCATGCAAAATAAGCCACTGAGAGGGTGTCTATGAAATATTTCTGTTTGTTACATGTCACTGACACTGCAGAGGGAAAAAGAAAAAAAAAAAAAAAGAAAGGAATTATTTGGTAACACAAAATCAAACTATTAAAAGCAGGGTCCAGCTAGAGGAAAACAGTATTTGTAGCTACCTACATAAAAAAAGTATACATGGGTTACATCTAGATAGGAGCAGTAGAAAAACCTGTATTGCTGTTAGTGCTAAACCATTTTCCTTCTTTTTTTTTTTTTTTTTTTTTTTTTTTTGACAATCTGTAGGGAGAAGTTAATAGAAGGTTCTGCAGTTCTTTGTACCAGGGAAGAATCTAAACATCATGAATTATTTAATCACGTACATCAGTGTTTTTCAGGTGGTGGTTTGTGAACTTCTGATGGGTATAAGGCAGCAGAAAAAGAGCTTCCTTTTAGAAACCATATGAACTATGAAGTTTAGAAATTAGGTTTTCAAAAGTACTTTTTTGCCTTCATGAGGTTTTGCCTTGAATTTAAAAGGAAAATGAATCGTATAAATGTTAAATGATTGGATACTTCCATTGCATATTTTTTAGCAGCTTATTTTGTGATTTATAACCTCCTTTCCAGGAATATTAACATTCCTCAGTGGTTTCAGCTGCCATTTCATAATCATGAAAACAAAACTGCTCTTAACTACATTTATTGCATTAAATTGATGGGTATTAGAAAAGTCACAAATATTTCTGGTTTTATAGCATCAAAAACAATGCTCAGACCTGACTGAATTTTTTCAGCAGAAAGAGGACAATAAAAATCTATTTAGGAATATATTTCAAGAAACTATGATTTTGTTTGAAGAATGAATTTTTTTTTTTTCCAAAAGACATGACAGTTTATAGCTCAGAGTTGTTCTATCTAGTTTCAGCACTGTTTTTCATGAACTACATTAACATAGATGACTTCCAGTCTGTCTAAAATGAAGGCATTGGGCAATTAATTTCTGAACTTGAAAAGAAGTTGTTAATATCAGCCTTCTACATACCGAGGAGAATAAATTTCTTTTTCACATAATAGATTTTTTTTTAGCTGTTTCCTGAAATCAAATAATATGGTAGAAATGTCAATGACTGACTGATGATCCGCAGAGTAGTTTTTAAAATACCACCCACCTATTAGCAGAATTGAATGTCTAATCTCCTTTACAGTTACTAGTTTACTTTTCTTCTTATTATTCTTCTGACGATCTATATCTGAAAAGTGACTTAGCTGTGCAATCTGCAGCATGCTTCTGGAAATGCAAAAGTCTATACACACAGATTATTTCCTCAATGTTTTGAGATAAATTATGTTTGATATGCAGCTGCTTTATAATATTTTTTCTTTGTAATATTTCTGAAAGCTTTAATCTCTACTATAAACTTATTGTAACACTCCCCATTGTAATACTCATTTCTCCAAGGAAAAGTGCATTATTACAATAGCGTATCAAGGACTTGCTTTCCTTTCAGATTTGCTGATGGGCTGTCACAGTGCCATTTACATCTATGAGTGAATCCTATTCATACAATTTAATTTTTGTTTCCCAAACAACAAACAGCTATGATGGAGAAGGTAACTACTGCTATTATTAGACAGAAACTACAACACTGTGGGAAAGACAAAGAGGCTTTTTAAAGGAGGTTTTAAAATAATATAATGTGTCAATTTTCTATATGTGATGCAGACAGATGATATATCCAGAGCAGAGAAGGGCTTTGGCCTTTTTAATTATCAATGGTTAATTTGTGAAAAAAGATAAATTTCAGAAGATCAAAGCTATATGAATTTGAGTTGAATTCATTAAAGAATTATTGCTAAAAAAGGAAACTTTTCCAATATCTTGAATATGTTCTTTTGAAGGGATTAAAATATTTCTCATCAGAAATGTAGAAACATTTATTTTTCATTTGGTGTTTTCTGTTTACAAGCTGACCTAGATTGTATTACAGGAAAATAAATTAAAAAGTAAACCAAAAGATTTCATTCTGGGTTTTTAGAAATATTTTAGATTTACCTCATTTATATCTCTCATACTCACATGGGATATAATTTATCTATGTTAATTTTGCTCTGTTGGCTAGCAGAAGGTATTTCTTAAAATAGAAGGTAATAAAAGATTCCCCTGTGCAAATGTGAATAATTTATTTGCTTCGTGTCTATTAAAGCAGTGGATCCAACCCATGCTACTTGGTAAAACGACTTATATGAACCTCTACCAATGTGGAATTTGTATTCAAAACAGGGGATTAAAAAATACGCTGTCAACTAGAGATTGCACAGGTAAAGCAGGTATTCATTTCCCATTTATTGGTATCTTTAGACCTGGTGGTCAAAAAACACTTCAATACTTCCAGGTATTTACCTTTATACATGATGGTCTTGCCAACATACATTGTTGAGGTTTTTTTTCAGTTAGCATAGGAATCCTGTTATTAAAAAAAAAAAAGTTTTGCAAATATAAAACCAACGGAAAACCTACATATTGACTAGGTACCCTTTCTGTGGGTTTCTACAGATTAAAATGATTGCGACATCTATTTTTGTGCCTGTAGGTGAAAAGCTGTGGCAGACCAGGGTTGCAGAGAAGCAAGTAACACAAAGAGGAGAAAGGAAGGCAAATGGATGTGCCAAGCCTCTACCTATCCCTCTTGCTACTTCTTCCTTGTGAACGAGCACTCCCAACCCCAAAACCCCACAGAATGCAGGGCCGTCCTCTTCCACTAGTGAAACTATTTTGTTCCAAATTAGAATTAAGAATAATAATAAAAAAAAGTTTTGAAAATGTTATTTTCCATAAACCTCAAACAATTTTAAATACTCTTTCCATTTCTATTGTTATTAAAAGAACAGCTGGCTGCCCTAAAGCTCAAGGAAACTGATTTCAAGAGCCCTCCAGTGAGACCAAGAGTCCTTAAGGGAGTCCACTGAACACTGATGGTGCTACATACAATTAGGGTTTCCATTCGGTCCATATCCTGGAAGTCAGGCTGCAAGCTCCAGTAGTACCCATAGAGAATAACCAGGTACTTTTATGATCCTGATGACAAAAAACCTGGAAGCTCTTTTTTAAGATACTGGAACTATTCAAACAGAGGATTCTAGATTAGCTGTATTTGACATCACAGTAGGAATGCTGTGAAAATAAAATTACTATTCACTCATTTCAATCTCATTACTGATAGTATTTACTATTTATGAGATTATGCACCTTTTAACATATATTTAAAAGAAACAAAAAAATCTCTTTTTGATACATTTACCTGTATCAAAATGTACACCTCTGCAAGATGCATATGAATCATTGTTAGAATAGTTAGTTTTCCTGAAGCTTGTTGTATTCCTATGTTTATAACGAAAAGCTTGTATTTTCAGGATGAAATAATTGTTTTTATTGAAATGGAAGCATAAATGTGCAGGCCTCATCAATCCTTAATATTGCTCACTGATCATCAGCTATCCTTTATTGAGAAGCAAAATTCTCATATGTTCATGTGAAGCTCTCTTTGGTTTATGTGGGAACCTAACTTTTAAGGGCACTATTTGGCTCTCTATTTTGTGGCTTCGCAACATGAGTCTTAAGCAAGAGAAAGTTAAATAAATGTTTTACGCAATAGGTAATGGCCTAAACCAGTAAATATCAACATGTC